ACGGTGAACAATATCCAACAGGGCAAGGCAAAGAGAGATAATCCAGGTACATAGCAATAATCCAGGCAGGGGCAAACAGAGTCCGAAACAGCAAGACAAAAAGGGTAATCCGAAAACACAGGCAAGAATCTGAACACAGAAAAACAGGCAAGGTGAGACTATGACTGTGCTCGCCAGTTCAGCACTGAACAGGGTAAGGATCTGTCTCGGCATACAGTGTCTCAACGTTTTAAGAGCATTTCAACCAAAAGTGCACTCTTTCTCATCAGCAGAGAGAATCAAAAGGCTAGACTAACCTTTGCTGAGGAGCATGTTGTGTGGAGAGAGGAAAACTGGTCCAAAGTTCACTTCAGTGTTGAAAGCAAGTTTAATTTATTTGGATCTGATGGGAAACATTATGTTCATCATCAATCTGGGGAAGGACTGAACCAAAAGTATGCAAAGAAGTAAGTGAAAGGTGGAGAAAGAAGTGTCATGGTTTTCTGCAGCAGGAGTTGGGCCTCTTATACAGCTACATGGCAGAGTGAATGCAAATGTTTATCAGAACCTCCTGTGGCAGCATGCGGTTCCCTCCCTGTGTTCATCGCCCAATCAGCCGGCAATTTTCATGTAGGACAATGCCCCCTGTCACACAGCAAAACGGGTAAAGCAGTTCCTTGAAGCTGAAAACACTGAAATAATGAAATGGCCATTCAAGAGTCCTGATCTACACCGACTGAAAATACTTGATGTCAAAGTTATGACTAAGAAACCCACTACAGTCACCAAACTGTGGAAGAGACTGTAAGAAGAGTGGACCAAGATCACACCAGAGCAGACAAGTTGAGAGAGAGACAAGTGATGTCCTGTGGACGCAGATGTGCTGAAGTCATTCAAAACAAGGCCCTCTACACGTCCTACTAATTTCTGACAGCTGTAATCCTCCAAAATTTTAGTTGTAATCTTTCTTCATGCTAGTCATTGCTCTTCTCTAATTTTGATCCCTGTGTTTTCCACCAAACAAATGGTTTTGTTGAAGTGCCTTGGTTGTTTTGTAAAACTATTCAACTAGAATGGTACAGCCACAACTAAAATTCCTTCAAATTTTGAATGATGATTACATTATTTCTGAAATATAAAGTGTTCATAAATCGTTCTCTAATTTTGATATACACTGTATATATATAATACTCACATCCATAAGATGCCTGTGATTTCATGTTTCTGCATCCAAAAACTACAAACTCTTAGCATATATAGGTCCATCTCTACTTATTAAGGCCAACAGTTAAATCCCTTGCAACCACAATCGCTGGCATACATTTGTTAGAATAAATACATAACTTTACAATACAATGAATTCAAAGTAACCCTTTTACATTTTCTTCACTACATCTCTACACTCCTCACCTGCACTATAATTATCATTGGCACTCTGTCACATGTTCAGCATAATGTGTTTGCAGATTTAATGTTTTCATTGCAGTTTGCATTAGACCTGCTCCCACTCTCATTTTATTGAATTCATATAACTAAATGAACTGCACCTTGCCTCTTGGCAGTCCACCATTACAAATAAAAATCTCTTCTTAATTGCTTTTCTTGCTTAAAGAGGAAAACTATCAAGCTGATATAAGTGTTGAAAATTCAATACACGTTCAAATAAGCCTTACATTTAGTGTAAAAGAACGGACAAATAATGTGTTCGGGAGATGACAAACAAGTAGTGAATCTTACAAACCTTACCAATCTGTGACTGAACATAATGGGCTTAAAAACTTCAGCGTTCTGTAATTATTTTGCATTGAAGTAATTAATATTAGCCGATTTTCATTTGAGGGGATTGCTGACAGTATGAAAGGTCAGATATGTGCCCCGGTGTCAACAAGTGACAAGTGGTGAAAGCTAGTGTCAAAAATAAAGAACTGATATAAATGGAAAGGCTGGATAAAAGCAAAAACTCATTGAAAAAGCTGGAGAATCAAAATGTACTGACCAGTGAAGTGGCAAAACTGAGACACCTCTGGAGAGGAAAGCACCAGGGAGATTGCTTTGACAAATTTTGTGAGTCAGTCTGATGTGGAAACCATATCACGGCTACCAATCCCCAAGATCTGCCACCAGCTTTCTGTAACTGGGCTGTCACCTTCTTTAACAGTGTGCATCCACTATGAGATTTATGAGAACAGATGTGTACCTGACAAAAAGCATTACACGTGATAACAAATTATGATATCAACAGTGAGGAGGAATATAACTTCACATAAACAGCACAACATCAGACAAATAAGATTACATGTGGTAAGTTACAGAGTTCCTGTGGCTCAGTGGTAGAGCATTGCGTTAGGTGTGGGTTCAATTCCCAGGGAATACATATACTGGTCAAAAATGTATAGCCTAAATGCACTGTCTGCTAAATGCATAAATTATTATTAATTAAATTATTATAAGATAGATAATACGTGCCTAAAACATAGTTTTGCGTAAAACTTTAGCTAGCCCTTGCAACACATGAAAGATATTTGACATTTTTAAATATAAGAGATAAAAAAATATCTATTACAATAATCCTTTTTTAAAATTTTTTATAAATTGATATTTTTATTCAGCAAGGATGCATTAAATCAGTCAAAAATGACAGTAACGGGGTTTATAATGTTAGAAAATATTTATTTTTCAAATAAAGGCTGAACATTCTGTTCATCAACCATCCTGAAAAATGTATCAGTTTTCACAAAAATATGAAGCAACACAACCGTTTTCAATATTGATAATAATAATAAATGTTTCTTGAGCACCAAATCAGTATGTTAGAATGATTTTGCCATCACAGGAATAAATTATATTTTAAATATATATTAAAATAGAAAAGTTCTTTTAAATTGTAATATTTCACAATATTACTGTTTTTACTGTATTTTGATCAAATAAATGCAGCCTTGGTTAGCATAAGATACCTTTTTCAAAACATTAAAAAAAACTACCTCAAACATTTGAACAATAGTGTATATGTTTAATATAGTGTATATTTAGGCATTACATGCAACAAAATGATAACAAATCAAATGTACACTACGTTTTCTATTATAATTTTACTAAATGATAAAGTTTACATACCCTATGTATTTACACATTGTGTGTTGCATTAATAAATGTTATTATTTGAAGGAGTCTCTCAACAGTCCAGAGTGGCAAATCTGAACCTCAACATCCTAGTCACTGTGAGGAAGAAGTGCATGCTGGGAAACCAAAGAACCTGTAGTACCTGGGAGATGTTTGTCAATAACAGCAGGCAGCTTCATGTTGCAGTTTACGGAGTTGTTGTAAATGATTTTTTCTGTAAAACATAAAAGAACATGGGATGGTACAGAACAATTACTGTTTTTATAATTTAGTATAACATTACATAATTAAAACAGCACAGATAAACAGAGAACAGTGAAGCAGTGAACAACCAGCATACACAAAAATAGTTTATGCGTAAAAAGAAAACTATTTATGCGTTTAATATTTTTTTTCTGCCTAAGATCGAGCTTTACGTCATATTAAATTTAGTTGTCAAAAGTACTATTCATTTCTATAGGTGTAAAACTTTTTCAAGTGGAAAAAAAAATACATTCGGGTAAAAATGTATAGAGAATGAAAAGACAGAGGAAAAAGAATTTAAGAAAGGAAGATTGGGAGGGGGCAAAAGAGAGTGATGGTGGATTGAGTGTGTGTTAATGCGCTGTGCTGTGGATTAGTACGGGCCGCCCGGGCAGCTGAGCAGAACCAGCCAGCCCTCACAAACCAATCAGGCCTTCATTAGGCCAGGCGGGGGGGATCGATGCTCAGCCCACATCAATTAAACAGCCCTCAAACCATGCACACTCTTCAACACACACACACACACACACAACTATCCTGCACCTGTACGTTCTGTTCTGTTCTACTTTAGATGTGCACAAACATCATCATATATTTCAAGAGTCTTTAAAATATATATGAAAAAATTCTTAAAATCACAAGCCATTAATAAACAAAATACATTTTATATTTAATTGAAATAATTGGATCATGTCAAATTCTTAGCCAATCAGACGTTTTCTTTTTAGCACAATATGGCATACTGTATTATACTGACACCTCTGAATCACACAAACACCCCACATTCACAGCACAAAGCTCTCTTTTATCCTCTCTCTCAGACTTTGTATCATAGTAGTTTGCACATGCACCCATCTGAAGAACACACATCAGTCATTATGTTCTATATCATTCCTGCCCCTTGCATTTTTGTTTATTAAATATTGGGGATAATTTGACGTTTTATGCTACAAATAGGAATATAGTACTTTCAGATACTTTTAACATTACTATCTTACGGTTAATTCCATTTTGCATATTTGAATGCAATCTTGGACTAGACATGGTTTTGTTTGAACATTCATTGGAATGTATTTTTCAATACAATATAAGTGTATGTGTGTGAATAAACAATAACCGAATTTTCATTTTAGGGTGAACTGTCCCTTTAACAATTTTGCAGTATAGTGGTGGACTTCTGGGCCCACACAAATATGTATCTGTACAGTATATATACATGTGCTGTTACATATACATTCATACCCCCAGCTTTAAAAAGTTGGCTTTTATGAGATCGACTCAAACACTACTGTGATCAGCATAACAAGTAGAAGATACTGCAAAAACAACTGTTTGATTAGTAATGAACAGTGTTGGGAAGGTTACTTTGGAAATGTAATAGGTTACAGATTACAGTTACCCAATTTAAAATGTAATAATAGTATAACTATTTCAATGTAACTGATTACATTTGATTAGTTCTTGATTTCTTTTTTACATTTCTAATGTTTTCAACTGTTCATCATTTTCAAGCATTTAAAGCAGGCAGGGATAACCTTACAGTGGCACTCAACACGGATTACAGTCAGACTTTCAAAATCCTTCATCACTTGAATTAAGATTATAATAATTGAATTTTAAAGCACAGCCACCGCAAAATCAGACTTTAGCACCTCTTTTTACTTTGAGATTGTTCTAAAGTTAAACACAGACTTGAAATAATAACAAGATATAGTTTAATAGCTATGACACTGTTTTTGAAATCAAACCTTTGCATAGCTATGACAGGAAACATCTAACAATGCCTTGGAAAAAACAGTTAATCTTCAAAAAAAGAAAGCATATAAACCCAAATAAGAAATAAAACAGTCATCGAATAAGCACATGTCCTATTCTGTATCCTAAACTCCTGAAACACTGGTGTCTTATATTTTAGAGCAGTCAATGCAATTTATGAAAGAAATCAATTAAATCTGTAAGTGGGTATGTGTGAAAAAATGATGTAACCCCTTTTATTATCATTAACATTTTCATAAATAACTTTAATTTAATTACACATTTTTTCTCAGTAACTGTAACCGATTACAATTGCATTTATTTTGTAATTAAACTATGCAATCTGTTACATGTAACTAGTTACTTTCCGACACTGCTAATGAATACTATTTAAATGTGTGAATAATACGTTCAGATTGTACAGCTTTTTTAGATATTTTTAATCAATTAAATAAAGCCTAAAAACTAACCAAACTCTAACAAGTTAGTTTTATTCTCTTAATTTGATCGGTAAAGTTAATAAGAGTTTAGACCAGAGTACGTGAGTGGAGCAAGAGCAAAGTTTGCCCAGGATCACTCAAAAAGTGGTGTTTTCTCACAAGTGGAGAAATGGAAAACCAGCAGTGGAACTGGAGCAGGCTGATTATGAAAGAAGGTGACTAGAAATTTGTCACTCCGCTCCACTCATAGGGTACATCAGGGTTCCTCAAATCTTGCCCTGGTGTGCCAATGCCCTGCAGCGTTTACCTCAAACCCTAATCAAAAACACCTGAAAAAGTTAGGTCAGAAATATACATGTACACACAAACTGACCACCAAACGCAACTTTCAGACTCCATCTTTATTTTTTAGCTCAACCGTCACGGAATGGAACGCACAGGATTGTGGGATATCAAAGGCAGTGAAGGATACATCTATGCTGCCTTCAAAATTCGATCAGAAGAAGGTACCTCCGGAGACAGGAAGTAAAGCAGAATTTGGATTCGGACATGCCTTGATGCCTTCCTGTCTTGGAATGGCACTGGTCCTCCAGGACGGGATTTGAGCACCCCTGGGCTATGCTACTGACCAGATTTTGTAACTTTGGCTTCATTTAAAAATATTTGTTTGCAAAGAAGAAATACACCAACTAACACTTTTTTGCTTATATGTGGACATTAAGTTACTTAAATTAACAGCTTCTTTTTAGAGCTGCTGTATAAAAGCAGTATCACTTTCACAATAATGCTACAGAAGGCCTCTTGAATATCAGCACAGAGCAGAGCACTACAGCCGATTCACACATCTGTGCTGATATTGAGTCTTGCACATGTTATAAAGTATAAAATAAATAAATAATCTAAATTAAAATAGTTTTGCTGCTGTCAGAAATAATGAGTTGGCCAAAGATTCTTCGACTGAGCCATACACGTGTTGATACTACGTATAGAATGCCCTCTGGTGTACGTCGTCTCTGGTCTGTTAAAGGGCGATTACAGCGCCTTAAGATACAGTATATGGAACATGAGTAAGAGACGAGAACAGAACCTGTAGAAAAAAACATGTATACGTGCGCGTCCAACCTCATACAAACGCGCGCGCAACATCGATAACACCCAATTACATCCACGCTCGCACACAGAAAGTCTTGAACACACAATTACACGCGCTACGGACAACCTTTTATTAACACTCAATTACACACGCGCATAAATCACCAACGAAGCGCGCACGGGTCTTTAGCCTTCACGCGCTCAAAACCTAGAGAAAGACGGTGTGTGAGTGTGAGGGAAGAAGAGAGAGGGAGAGGGCGAGGCTCAAAATAAACGTGTCTGTGTTAGACGATTACCGGGCCGCGCTTCCTGCCCCGCCATATCACCTGCGTTCACTAGCATTGACACGTCAGTCTGCGGCGGCTAACGCGTTGTGACAGCGCTTAGATTATAATATCTGGCCCGTATTACTGGGCATTAGCGCCATTACGGCACCCCGCCCTCGCTTAGCCCGCTCAGGTGGACCATTTTGGAAATGGAGAAAAAGAAATGAGGAAACCGATAAAAATGCATGGAGAAAAGCGAGACGGGGGAAAACAAGGGGCACTCATTAAGTTAACCCACAACCGAGAATTAGACTAAAATATCTGCAACATGCCAACAGTTTGAGTCTAAAGAAACCATTTCTGCCATGAGTGGCAAACTCTCCCTAAAAGAGGCATTGTTCGTTTCAGAGAGGCCTGCAGAGCAGTAACACATCCTGGTCCTATTAGATAGATGATTAAGCTTTAGTGGAAAGCGATCAGCAAGTTCTATTAGGAGTAAAACCGTTTATCTAAATGAATTTATGTTTTTTTTTTTAAAGGATGTGCGTAATTATACAGACTTGGGTGCCATCTTCTTAATATCTTCGTTTGGCTCAGAAATGATGAAGAGTAGCCTATGAATCAACCCCGAGAAGATGATTTACGGTTAGTACAGCGACATGCTTGACTCTCTATTGCTTTTCAAAACCCTCATTTATTATACAAAGAATACACTTATATATCTAGGTCTTGTTGTTTTAATTAGGGAAATTAATAAGTAAGAATAAATTAATATTGCCTTGTCTAGGGCCCAGCAACTTCAATACCGGGGCATTTCTGGGCGAGGATACATTTGCGCAGCGCAATTAACGCTTAATAAGTAAGTGATTAATTATGATTAGCACGCGGATTCGTGGCAATGGCCTCTCGGTGAGCTCACAATAAGGCTCGATGTGTTAATTCGCCCACGAGCCCGTATATTCATCTCTGTCTGCGGGTGTGATCATCTGAACCCCAATCTACATATCCAAACGTGAGTGAGTGGGTTCACTTACATCTCCATTTGTGCTGGAGGCCTATTTGTTCTGCTCACTGTGGACGGTTGTTCCCTTTGTCTATTCATCAGCAGTCCATTAGTGGCGCGCCGTTTGAACGGCTTGGTGCACACAGACGTCATATGATTAAAGAAGAATTCATCCCCCCCCCAGATGTCTTTATTTGCACAGGGGTGGGAGTGTTAGATGTCTTCTTTGTCACCCCAGCAGGGTAATATAGTGTGGACTGAGGCATCCATCAATCGAGGAGCTGTGATATCCACAATCGAAAGCTTGTGCCATAGGGCACTAGGGTTCCACTGGTGCCAGTTGTCCCCAAGGCAACCTTGACAGACTCTTGACAGCTGAAATGATGACATCATGACCATCTCCTTTGGCGAAATGTGAAGGCTACGTTCGAGGCCAAACTTCAGATGAGGTACCGAAACTCAAAACCGCTCTGGTCTGGTAGAGTGACCATTTGACCAGAACACTGGCAACATCTTGAAGATGACTATAGTTACTTTTGAGACAATTCATACAAAGAGGCTGGGCATTTTCCCCCCTTTCTCTCCCTCTCTCTCTCTCACTCACTCACAATGTTCATTGCCCAGAAAAATAATTTCTTGGTCATTTCAACCCTTTTGTGAGCGGCAATCAATTTCTCTTCTTTTCACGATGGTTTGAGAGTGAGAGTGAGTTCACAGAAGTTTGACCTTCTCTAAAAGATCTATCAATTCATCCATCCTGCAATCTGTCTATTTATGTTGTGATCGCTCTGCTTTTTCGTGTTCGTTGATGTGAGAGCATCCATAGGCTCATCTGGTCATCAATCCGTCATCTTGTGTGGCATTCTGCAATTATCCAGTAACAATATAAGAAAAAAAAAGATCAGGTGATGGCGGAAAGGAAAAAAAGGCAGTTATTTGGCCAAATGCATAGCCTAAGGAAATATGGATTTATACACTGTAAATAAAAGTCACATATAGACTCCTCACAAGGGTTAAAGGAAAAAGATCCTACCTGGATTCCAGATTTACTTTAGTGTCTGGATTATTGCCCTTGATTTTTTCAGTCCAATCAGAGTGCTGTGAATATATGTCAAATATATTTATATAAAATGCATATATTTATACATTATATATACACTGTATAAATACACATATGTAATCATTCAGTATTAAAAATGTTATTTATATTCTGTTTGTTATATAAATACTACACACTACTACTCTGCAAACGGCTTAATTTTACTCATCAAAAAAATTTTAAGACAAAGCGTCAATTTATGAAATAGCTAATCCAGTGACATTTTTGTATGCACAAGGAGTTCAACTACAGACAGTATGGACAAAACACAGATCTGATCTCACCATCATTCAGCCTGTCTGGAGTTACACAAAGAGACACTAAACTGTGACTAAACATCTTCAAGATGCTTGAGGAAATACACCTAAAACCTGCTCTAATAAACTGTGCAAAAACTGACCTGGGAAAAAATATGTTTTAAAAGGCAGAGGATACCAAAAATGGATAAAATATATGAATAATATTGTTTTTGAAAACGTCCTCACTTCCATACTGCATTTTGTAAAACTTTTCACAGTACTGTAGCTTTGCAGGTAGATTTCTCTAAGTGCATTACATACACAGTATATATATATTGGGGTGAAAAAGCAAGAAAGAGAATGACTGGCAACACACTTGGCACTCTAACAATAATGTAGAAAAAATAACTCTTTTGTTTGTAACTCTATTTAATTGCATTTTGACATCTAAAAAGGCCCATCAGAATGCAGTCACCTCATTTCACAGATTTAAATGTTATGACAAAACTAGAAGGGGTGGCAACTTTCATGTTACATGGACTACAAAGTAATAAAGATCAGATCTTCCAAGTTTTCACTCTGTCTCACAATGTCTTTCTTTCTTCTGAATATAACAACAGACCCTTATCAATCCCTATTCTTTTCCTTCATTTTCACTACCATCTTTCACGTCTTTCACCGTCCCTTCATTCTCATTGCTTGTTCCTGTCCGGCCGCTTTCCCCTTCACTTATTCCCCGTCCCTTCCTGCAACACACACACACACACACACTGTCCCTTCCAATCTCCCTCTTCCTCTCGCTCTCGCTCTCCCTTACTCACAGGACGATATTATATATTCCAGTCTGTTCTTTGCATGATTTGGGGAGTAGATGAAGCCATATCCCGCTCTCCTCCTCGACCTCTCCCTCCCTCCCGCTTCTCGCCTTGTTGTTTAATGTTTCAATTTGGAGGAAGCAAACATTCAATCAGACAGATTAACTGTTTAATGCATGTCATCAGTCAAACTGTCTACAAGAGGGGGACCCTTTGCCTCTCCCCCCATCCACACACACACACACACATATACACCCCAACACCCGCACGCTGATGCTCTGCCCTTCTCACTCCCAGGATTTCTGTGGCCCATGCAGACACGGTCTACTCTAATATAAATACACACATTCAGCGAGACATGCATGGCTCTTTCTCAGCTATTCTCAGATATATATAAATTCAGATTCATACATAAAAGAACTAGAGTGAAAAAAGCATGGGAGTCTGGTTTATACATGTGACAATGTGGAAACATAATTAGAAATGTATAAAATCACTCACAATCAGGTTTACTGAGACACTGACTGCAATTTATGCATATTAATTGCGCATATTTTTTTTGTCAGCTGTATAGACCAAAACAACAACAGTCGTTTGCGAATACAAACATATTTTTAACAGTCTGTCTCTCCTACTCTCACTTACAGACTCGCAGAGACGCATGCACACAGAGAGCCGGGCCAGTGGATAGGGAAATCAAAGTGACAGGGAGGGAGAAAGAGGAGGGAGGGAGAGATTAAAGGAAATGAAAAGAGTAAAAAGGAAAGAGGAAGAGAAGGAATGAGAGGTAGAGCGTGGAGAAGGTGGAGTGGACTGTAAAACAGGCGCAGAATAGAGCTGTGCACCATAGAAGTGACAAGTACAGGCACGCATTGCAAAGGTCACTATAAATATGCCAGTGAAATTACACATTAATATAAAACCTTGGTGAATAATCTTAAACCCAGATCTGTGAGTTTTCTTTACTTTTTTTGTATAACTCACATTTTAAAAAAAGATTACACTAAATAATATAATAAAATGACCTCATAAATCCCTCTCTCTCTTCATTCTCATCCAGCATGTGTCTCTTTTCCCCCACTCTCACCGTGTCTGCTTGATGACCACAGCTCTCAGGGTGTCTAAACCAGGTAAGTATTGACAGCCAGCTCAAGTGACTCACAGTCCAACAGTCAATATGCAGACAGAGACGGGGTCCAAAGGTCAATGACAAAAGGAGAACAAGAAGAGGCAGAGAGACACAGCGAGAAAAGGCATTCAGTGTTTGGTGTGATTACTGTTATTTCATACTAAACAATTGCCTCAAATGCGAATGCTAGATTGGGGTGAGATTATGATGCTTAAGAGGAAAATGGCTGTTGAGGGTCAGAGGCCAGCGGCCTTTCTTGATCATCACATGCTTTTACAACATGTTTTGGGGATTCTAGAAAATGCACCAAATTAGGGTTTTAGATACAAATTAGATAAAAATACAATATATAAATGCACTGAATTAATATTATAATATACATATAAAGTAATATCCCTATGAAGCAATTTATGCCAGATCACTTCTAAATATATTATATGCAACATTTCATGCATATGTGTGTGTATAATATACAGATGTATTATTATACAAAGGGATTTAGCATGAATTACTTTATGTATGAAGTAACTATATACGCAATAGAATAAATCAATTTTCAAGTGTGTGTGTGTATATATATATATATATATATATATATATATATAAATAGTATGTATAATATACAGTATAGTCACTTCATATATAAACGTAATTATGCTAAAATCACTTCTAAAAATATAATATGCAATATAATATATTAAGTGAAGTTTCAAGAATACTAAAATACTACAAAATAAAATACTAATAGATGCCAACACTAAAATAAAATAGATACTAATACATACTAAGTATAATACTCTTTCAGACATACAGTACAACAACTAATAGAGACAAGTTACCTAGATAGTGTGCTTAGAGGAGACACACACACTCTGTATTGACACTGAGGGAGTGTCAGTGTGTATTGAATGAAAGGAGTAAATGAACACCCCACCCCACTGTCTTTCTCTCTCTCTGTCCATCTCTCCCACTTCCTCTCTATCGGCTATCAGTCTCTTTTCCTCTAATCATTTCCTTCCTTCTGGCCTTCTTTTCTTTCTAATGCAATTACCTTTCATTCATCTCTTCCTTCTCCCTCACTCTCTCTCATTCTCAGTCACTTCATCCCCCTCCTTATAATCTGGCTCTGTTATGTATTACTTCACCCTATGGGGTATTGGTTTCCTTTACTTACTCTGCAGTGATTCTCTCTGATTCACTTCTCGTTTTGTGACGGGCACCGCAGAAGTTCCGCTGTGTGTGAACATCTTTGTCTCCCTCCAGATCCCCTTTCACACTTTACTCCACTTCATCTCCACCTACACCTTGAAGACACAAATAACCGAGATGCTCAATAATCAATTATACTGACGTATTGAGTTATTCTATTGCATACACGTCTTTTCAGGAGTATGCTTAAGAGAACATGAACAGTGAAACAGACAGACAGACAGATAGATAGCCATGGCACTGGTATTAGTTGCACATAAAAGTTTTAAACAACAACTTGAGGTGTGTATCTGTATGACAAATGATAGATCGATCTATCTACATTATTTCTTCCTGTCAAACTTACACTGAATGATTAAAATGCATTCACTTCTCTTTAGACATATACTTAAAATCTTGTTTGACTTTATAATGTATAGTCATTTAGCATTAATGCATGCAGTGATGTAGCATAAATGACTTTCACTGGCTATTAAAGGTGTGTAAAACGTCCAGGATAAATAGCGCAAAGGAATGCTAGGAAATAAGGTGGACTTTGTTTCAGAGAGTGATGATAAGAAAAAGTGTAGTGTTAAGATTCGGAATTGCAAAAGGAAGGATCACGGCACTTTGCCAGGAAAGAAAAAGGGAACAGGAAAATAACCTGTCTTTTCTTACCTTCTGTTCGCTCTCAAGGAAAGTGGGAGCGAGAATGAAAATAAATAAAGTGGTGCACATTCACAGTAACGACCTTACTGGCTGACAAACACCTTTCCCCCTCAAAATTTGTTAATTCAGCTTCCTGCCCCGTGTGCATAGCTCTGCCAGAAACAGATGGCTGCCGGAATTGTCCTCAAGCGAAGTTCTAAAAGTGTTTGCCAAGAACGTCGCTGATGAGCGGCGAGGGCGTCTAGTAGCACGCTATGAATTTTATGATGGAAATAAAACGCGAAAAACAAAGACGCGTGCGTATCAAACATGCCTAAAATGGCAACAAAAAAAAAACTTGAAAAAGAACAAAAAATTGAAAAAGAAAGTTAGATGCTTAGTATAGGCGAGAGGAGTGCGCTGTCCATGGTGCTTAAATCGCCGCGCGTTTATCAGATTTACACGCATATTCGAATTATTGACGAATTTTGACAGATTTTTAAATAAATGTGTCTAATGTCAAAGGTCAGCATTTGATGTGGGAAATGATACACGGGGGCAGTGTATGGCCCGGACACATCTCTCGAGTGAACAACAGAAATATTTGAGGCCTCATTTAGCACTCAGCTTCAGGAGCATCCATTTCAATTAGCCTGTTGTAATCTCCAGCACTTCGCGGTTCTGTGCTCTGCTTGTTCTACCATGATGCCAACACTCGATATTTGATCTGGACTCGGCAACCCTGACAATCCGGCCCTTTGGTAAAAAGAGCACGAGTGGGCTCATGTGAGCGACCCTGTATGACCTTGACCACCTACACTGCGGCCTTGGGTTTGGACGACCATGCCCCGGACACAGCGCCTTCCCGCCAGGGGTCTCTGGATCGTTTCATCAAACGCTGTCCAACAGCGCACGCTAACTAACGGACCTCCCACTCCCAAAAGAAAAGCGCGAAAACATCAATAAGATGCAACGATCATTTACAAACACTGCCAAACAGCATACATTGAGCAAGAACTTCATATTCAACACAGATATTAGGGAAGCATTCACATGAAATGGAGATGAAGGAAGACCCATGTCGATGTGCGGACGGACAGATAAATGGATGAGTGGATTTGTCTGCATGGGTGAATAGATAATTGGATAATATGAAGTTTGCATTCTAAAAGAAAGCGAGTGCTGAGAAGCGGCCACGCTTGCTGTCACTCAGTCATTAATAACTGCAGGCAAATTAAGCTGCTCTTAATTGAGATACTGGGCGTGCATAATTATTTTTGCATACATTGAATACAATTATGGTATATGAGTAACGACGATGTATAATTAGTATAAAGGAGCTGAAACGCCTTGTCCTGATTCAGCAAATAGCCTACACAGGTAAGTCGAGGCGATTCAGAGGGTATTAGCCTACTTGAACCTCTAAACGTTTTGTGTGAAGGCCAACAACATTTAGCTGGCGTTTCAAAAATTTCAGTGATTACAAAAGTTATAAATCAAAAGTTACCTGGCGGTAAATAGATCGCGAACAGGCATACGGTTGGTTACTTAAACACTTTTTGGGTCATCACCACAATTTTTTGGGTAGTTAAAAATTAACAATGCCATTTTTTTAAATCAGATTTACGAAACACAAGATGACGTTAAGAAGATAACCAACTTTCAGGGCGCCAAAATTCGAGTTGCTCGAGATGAATCTCAACAGATTGCACTCCATTTTTAAAAGCTGGTTCCCCTGAAATCATTGTATAATTCTCACATTGTGGATACACAAAAACAACACAACACTGGGAGACCGCCACTGCTTCACCCCCTCCTCCCGTACACCTCCACCGCTACCTCTCTTCACTCTCTCCACTGGAGAAGCGGCAAGGAACCGCGACGCGAAGGGCCGCACATAGCTGATCAATATTCGATTTAGTTGCTAATTTAGGGCCTTTCTATAGCTGTCATCCCGTGATGTATGAGTCCTAACCCGAGGTCGCCGTGGAAAAGAAGGAGGAAAAAAGAAAAAAATATCAAACACCAGTCAACTTTTCACTTAACAATAGACCGACTTGAATATTATTTATGGCCGAAAGCGCCACTTTATGGGTGAATTGCTCCTATCGCTGGCTGAATGATGAAGCGGGCCTGTAAGTACACGACATACAAGCACACACACAAGGGGTGAAAACGTGTAAGCACAACTACCGTGCGCTGGATTGAATGAGAGGGGCCGAGGAAATATTCATTTCCAAAGACTTAACCGAGTGGCCTTTGCATAGCTGTAAGTGAGTGTGATTTTTCCATTGCAGCATCTCGAGAGTCAAGTTCAATTCAGCAGGCGCAGGTCAGGGACAAAATACTGCGTGTAGGTGATTGTAAGCACTCAGTGAGAAACTTTCCGTTAATAGGTTACAAAAATGGATGGCAGTGTAAGAAAATGAGATCGGACAAAAACACACGAGGCATAAAATACAGCGATATCCATAATAACGCTCTCGCACTCGTTCTCTCTCTCGCACGCACAAATATCTGCTTTATTTTGCCTCTTTTAATGTCTTCCCGATCGATCACCGGTCTCAGGATGTTATCAATAATTTGGAAGCTGGATTAACTTCAACGTTTCCATAACAATTCTTCGCGTTCATACTCTCCAGCATTTTTAATTAACACTTGCTTAATTAGCTCGAGATGGTATTGGACTATGATGGGTATTTCTATGGGGGAGGGCGGAAATTAACATAAAACCTCTCCTGATAAATTGATATATTATCAGGAAAGAAATGTTGTAGGAATTTCTAAGCGGAACGAATCATAAACAGACATCAATCAAAAGCAAGTAGCTCAAGACAACGTATAATTCTTTAAGAAAATGATTTAATTATTTATGCAAACGGAGTTAATTTCACATAAAGATTAGAACCAAGGCAGAAAATAGTTTGTTGACTCACCAGAGTGGAGCAATAAATTCTAACCAAATAAATCACACATAAAACAACACATAAACTACTGCAGAAACGACATATAAAAATGTATTATTTAGCATTTTGTGTTATGTATGTTTTTGCAAGATTATTTTCTAATAAACTTATGGTCGCATAGGTTGTTTTATTGACAAATAAAATTTCATAAAACCTATCAGACCATTAAGCTCCAAATAATGTGGCCTAAGTATACTAGCAGTCAATATGAGGGAAAACTCTATGACTACATGGTCACACTGTCATTGAACCTGAATTGTGATTAAGGCGATAGTCTCATGATTCTTAATTACAATGTACATCGCAATTACAAATCTCCACAAGTGCTCTAATGACTATAGAAGTCCATTCTGAGTGATTAGGATGCCTAGGCAAATCAATGCCAGCTCTAAGTTTTGAAGTTGTGTGCCTGGGTGGAATCTTTGGCTTGTTTTATCAATTAACTCTTATGTAAAGATTGGCAAAGGCTAATCCTTATGGGATTAAGGGCCTATAAATGGCCGATGATGTATGTTATACTGGAAAATAATTAACTGCAGACTATGAAGCCATCAAGGTCTTAATGTCACTAGCTACTACGTAATACTGATTCTTTTGCATTGTCCTATATGAACACTTTCAAAACATGACTGTAATTTAAAAAATCAGCCTCAGAATCCATCATTTAAGGTAACATTATATATGCAAACGCAGTTGGCTGATTAGAAGCACTTACTCTGTGTGTATTAATGTGATATCATGTCTCCATATGACAAACAGAACCCATTTCCTGCTTTGCATATGACAGGCCTAGGGGCCCAGCTGAGGCCTCCTGGCTCATTTGTATAATGACTTGAATGGGGTTAATCTTTTAGTTATTTTAAGCAGCACAAAAATATTCACATTCCCACTGGTCATATAATGAAATCAAAGCAGCATGTCCAACATGTTCCCCGAGTTGAATAAGCCTTATTAATAAATATGTTAATCCATTCCATTTAGTCTAATTTTGCTTTGTTGGGTTGATATGTATGCTTGGATTCCCTTAAAATGTATATGCATGCTATTTTTCAGATCCTGCATTGGAGGTCTACAATAATTATACTGGTTACATAATATTATGCTAAATATGCAATAGTATATTGACTGCAAAGGATTAAAGGGATTGTTCCCCCCAAAATGAAAATTCTGTCATTATCTACTCACCTTTATGTTGTTCCAAACCTGTATATCTTTCTTCTGTGGAACACTTTTACAGTGAAGCACACCTAAAGTTCCTTTAAAACAATCACAGCTTTGTGAATCAGTTTAAAAAAGTATGATCTCCACAATATGACTCAAAACCAATTAAACATTTATATGCTCAAAGGTGGGATACTAGAGATTTATTGTTTATAGAATACAGTGATGATTACCAGGGTTGACTGACCTCTGAGTCCCATCTGCTTCACTGACGGATGACTGACAGCCAGTCAAAGAGGGGAAAAAACACAAGTGCTAGAGTTATGTGAAACAGAAGCAAGACAATGGAAAGCACAGAAAACTAAACTTGCAGAGCACACAAGTTGTTAGTGTGATACTACTGTCAGACAAAAAGGGAATCTCCACTGAAGGGAAACATGTAAACACTCATAACAGCTTCTAAATCAGACGAGAATGTGGACGAGAAACCAAATGGCTAACAGGTCCCTCCAGACAAATCTGAACGTCCTCAGTGCTGCTCCCTCCCTGATTTCGTCCTAACCTCTCCCCCTCATCTCCCAGTTCTCCACAAACATCGTCCCCCTAAACTAGCTGGGCTCTAGGGACTTCTGAGGGAAGACGGGAGCCACGGAAAGCAGGTGAGAGAGTGAGTGCTTGCATGAGGGAGAGGAGAGGGGATAAGGAGATTGAAGCGTTTCTAATTTGAATAAACCCTTCGGCAGACTAAAACTGGCAGCCGGCTTCCCCTCTGTGCACAGGAAAAGAAAGCAAAGTAAAGAAAAAGGAAAGGAGGCAGGGCAGGAGGAAAGCAGAGATAGATGGGGGGATATAGAGATGTCTCCACATGCATTTGGCTCTGGAGTATGAGAGTTTGGGCTGAAAGGGGGTGGAATGAGAAAGAGATGTTGGAAAACAACAGAGCTAGATGAGGTAAAGAGATTGGACCAAAACAAAAGAAATAAAACATTGAGATGGGACTTATAGGACTAAAACGGTGGGGGAGACAAAAACTGAAACCAACTATGTGATTTTAAAAATTACCGGACCCAAGTTTTTCCCTCTTGGTCAAAAGTCTCTCCACTACTTCAGCTCTCCTCTATCTGCCTCTCTCTTTCTCTCACACAATTGCTCTTTTGAAAATAAAGGTTCCTGTTAGATATAAAAAGTGTTTTACAGCGCAATGCCAAGAGAACCTATTTAAGTTCCTCAAAAAACTTTTCTCTTCAGTTCTTTAGCCAGCTATATGTGCCGATGCTTTATATAATCCAGAAGGCTGATCTGAAGAATCAAGAACCTTATCATGAAAAACTAACTCAAGAACCCTTTACAGAAAAATGATTCATTGCTGAACCTGACTATAAAAGAACATTCATAGTATACAAAATAATTATATTCAAAGCAATAATTCATAATCACGTTATGGTAGGAATTTTGAGAGACTTGTGTCTTGGTTTAAGTTTGTGTTTACATTATGATAGTCTGTGAAAAGGTTACATAGCGAGAAATGTATTGTAAAAATGTCCATTTCAGCTTTTAGACTGAATTCCGGATTTTGACCCACGCCATTGTAAAAATATGAGAAATAGCCTACACCGCACACTCGCGCAGATGATGACACGATACGATTACCGAGGCCAGAAACGCGTTTCTGTTTAAGTATACTAGTAGGTCTAACAAAAAAGGAGGAGATAAGAAGGGAGAAGGTCTCTCTAACACCTACACACAGCGTAAGAGAGAGCGACAGCGAGAGAGGGGGAGAGAGAGCGAGAGAAACACACAAGAACTGGCTCCGGCTTCAGCGGCGCTGAAGTGAAGCGGCGACGCTGGGAGAACCATAAATCTTCATATAGAGGCTGTTTTGATTAATGCAGCCGACTCGAGCTAGGGGGCTGGACCTATCCCATTACGCCCTAATGGAAGATGGAGCGCCGCTGTCTCCACCACTAGGCCCCTGTCATTTGTTCCACTTTGCAGTCCATTTGGCCGAGAGACTACAAGCCACTCCATCAAAAATATTTTCAGAGTTAATTTCCGCCCGCTTAATTCGCCTTGATTCGGATTGCGTATCGAATGGCAGGATCGATTTTCGCCTGGCGTCTAAATTAAATAAAAGAGGGGGGTATACTTTAAGACCGCGTTTTCTTTCTTTTCTCTTTTCCATTCTTTCTCTCCCCCTTTTCCAGCTATCCCTCACTTTAAGTCCATCTCATTCTTTTTCCCTTGTTGCATCTCATTTCCCTCTCTCCTTTGGCTGTTATAGATATTATAGGCTAGGGGGTGGGGCATGACGGTGTACTACACATAATCCGAGATCGAGGGAAAGACAAATGGAATGGGGTGATAGATATATGGATCTTTCCAGAAACTGTAAACGGGCATATCAAACATAACAAAACGAAAAAAAAACTTTTAAATGTAAACACTTTCACAATACTCCCAACAGTGTGCCTGGTTGACTTTTTAAAAGAAAGTTTAAAAAGGAAAGTTTGGGTTATGCAAACTTACATTTTAATTAAAATAATAGCAAAGACACAAACAATGTGATTTGGGTTTCTTAATGTTCCATCTGATTACGCAATCTATTCGAGCGTGTACAGTTGCCATGGTTACCGCCTAAATCAACCGCGATTACAGTTAGCCTACAGTTTTTCAGCGAAGTGCCGTTCGATGAAAACATATATTTTATTAAAACCTTGTTTAAACATGTTGTATTTTAAAAGAATATTTACTTTAAAAGTACATAGTCTTTCCATTAAAAGTAACTAAATTATTGTGGTTAGAAATTTACATAAAGCATGTTAGTCATTTCAGTGAACCATAATTATTCATTATTAGATAAAACATATAAAAGAGAAAAAAAAACACATGTATTGTACGTATTTTGAAGACGTGGAAAAATAATAAAGAAAAAGTAGCCAAAAGAAATGGAGAGAAGGGTAAAGAGCGCCGTGACAAATTGGTCGAGTGTGTCGCGAAAACCCTTTTAGATTTAAAGCCGCATGTAGCCCATCGTCATATCTTTCCAGAGTAATTTATTTTCCCATTTCTCTCTCTTCCTCAGCCCCTCTCTGTGAATTTATCTGTTGGCCCCTGCGCGTGCTCCAGTCACGTGCGATTGAAGAGGGGGGGGAAAGTCAATAAAAGTCTCCAGCCACAACTGCTTCCCCACTTTGGGCTCTAGCACTTCTCGTACTCTTTCTTTTCCTCTTTTGTTTCTATTTGTTTATCTCCAGAATCCTTTCTGTTTCGCAGCCAACTTTGGTGTGAAATTACATTGAATAAAAACAATAACATTAACATAAAAATGTTAGAAACCCTATTCTCCTATTATAGTAAAAATTGAAGGGACATTTTGGCAATTTTTATTTTTTTTAAAAGCCAAAGTGCATTCAACGTAATTATGCTGAAATAATTGATCAGTTGATCCTGTAACTAGAAACACCAAATCCTCTCACAGCAGGATCATTTAAACACACAAAGTAGTCAAAATGTTTAATTATCTAGTACATCTTCCCTGACAAACTTTGACCGTATCTAAGGGCTTGTCAGTGAAACATGAGGTGTTTCAAACCCCATGAAACTACAACAAGGTTTGACTTTGCAGCCACCCCATGGAGACAAAGACGATGGTTAAGACAAACCCAGATGTGACCATATCGACTCGTTTCAGGCCACCAATATACTCTTTCTAAGTCCACACAATCAGTTATTGTCTGATTCTTGAGAAAAATGCCCCAACCTAGAATAATGAATAAATACACAACATACACAGTCAACAGGCCTCTGGTAAGATACACACTGTGTCAATATTAATCTCACTGACAGAAGATCGAAATATAGCAACTGTCACACATCATCTTTCCTCTCTCCTGTCTCTCCATGGAGTGGGGGTTCAGACAGAGAAAGAGTGTGAGAGAAATAGAGAGAGAGAAAACGTGAAAATGAGAGAACAACTGAAATGTGGTAAATGTACGTATAGAAATAAGAGAAATTAACACAGCAAAAAAGAAAATTTAACAGGATAGATAGTATAAGAGCTAAAGGAGGTGTTGGAGAGGGAAAAGAAGGACTGACAAGAGGAAAAGTGGAAGATGCACACACAAAAAGAGATATAGAGGGCCCACCAGGGATCGTTTTACGAGCATCCAATTGCTTTCATTGGGGCACTATTCTCTCTCTGTCAATTTCCTTATCGTGGCCTTGATTTAATTTATAGGCCTGCTTGAAGCCTTTCAGCTCATACTGTAACATAATGTGTAGCAAACAGTGGCATAAGTCAACAGAAACTCTGCCGTAGACCTATGCCGTTCCTATTCCCTAATCCATCCACAAGTCAGAAGTTTTCAAACTTTTTCAGGTCTAGGACTCTTCAGTGGACAGAGAACAGGGATCATAACAACCAAGCGGCAACCTTCTGGTCTCTCTCGTGAAACCAACACGGAAGTGACTAAAACTGTAATTCATCGACTGGCCGCTAGAGGCTGGCTCCAAAAGGGAGTCAGTCCCATAGACTCCCCATGTTAAAACGCCCAACTTT